AGCTAAAATGTCGATACAATATTTATGAGCTAAAATGTCGATACAATATTTATGAGCTAAAACGTCGATACAATATTTTTAAGTTAAAATGTCAATACAATATTTATGAGCTAAAATGTCGATACCATATTTATGAGCTAAAATGTCGATACAATATTTTTCAGTTAAAATGTCATTACAATATTTATGAGCTAAAATGTCGATACAATATTTATGAGCTAAAATGTCGATACAATATTTATGAGCTAAAACGTCAATACAATATTTTTAAGTAAAAATGTCAATACAATGTTTATGAGCTAAAACGTCAATACAATATTTTTAAGTTAAAATGTCAATACAATATTTATGAGTTAAAATGTCAATACAATATTTATGAGCTAAAATGTCGATACCATATTTATGAGCTAAAATGTCGATACAATATTTATGAGCTAAAATGTCTTCTTAGAAAATCATCTTTGCATGAGCTTTTTAATCGTTGAAATATACTATAAATGTTAAGAAAGAACGTTTTTCTAAACTCAAAATATTTATAACATAATCCATACCTTTCACGGTATAAGTTTAATATGAGTATAACTGTAAAATCATAATTGATTTGATAAAATTGGATAATGTTTGCAGGGTATACATTTACCATGATATCATTATAAATTGGTTCTCTAAATGTCTGTGCTGTTAAAATAAGCGGGGGGGGGGGATAGTATTTCAGAAAATATTATATTCTAAAAATATGTTTGATTGGTTCATGAGAATTTGATTGTCACATTTGACACGAAACTCAGCGCATCATCAAGTTGTCAACATATTTTAGCGTAATAATAAATTGAATAAAACCACACCTCGAACTCACAACAATATGCTTTATGATGCTAGAACTCAAATATTTATTTAAGTTTTATTGTTTGTTTTATACTTCATTTTTTGTTTGCTTCCACACTTTCTTGTGTTTTAACATTCCCCCTTTCCTTTCCCATACACTCATTTTCTTCCTCTCAACTTTTTATCATTTGCTAGCTTTACCCAAAGCTCTACCTTCCCATCCTTTCTTTTTTCATTTTCTTTCCATTTATCCTTTCCTTCCATATAATTAATCCTTTCCTTACTTTTCTTTTCCATATCAATCCTTTCCTTTACTTTCAATTATTATCCTTTTCTTTTCTTTATCAATATTTTCCTTTTCATTCCCTATCACTCCTTTCCCCTTTTCCTATTTTTCCTTTTGAAAGCAATGATTTCACCTTGTTTTTCCTTTCTCACCTACTTTCATTTCTTTTCTCAACCCTTTCATTTCCTTTATTCTCCTATCCTTTCATTTCCCGTCCCATTATTTTCCAGACATTTAATTCTTGAACAGTCTTATTCTTAGTTTTTTCCTTTCCTAAATTCTTACACCATCACCTTGACTTTCTGTAGTTTAAACTCCCCCCCCCCCACATTCTATTCTTTTACCAAGCTTTCCCTTCCACACTTACTTGACTATTTTTCTTCTTGTTTACATCAAATTCTTCTACCACCATGCGTTACCCCCCTCCCTGATCCTTACTTATTGTGTGTGATTAAGACCTTTCTAAATAAAGTTCATAAAAAATGCTAAAACATGTTTTGTAAATTCCCAGCAATAGATTCATCTTTATATTTTACTAGATTGGGAACCCAATGTTGTCCAGATTACTCAAATAGTTACTCCCGCCGTTTACCCGTAATTGGTCGGCTGTGAAACAAATATTGGTATTAAGTCGATCCACTCAACTTTGACTCTCAAAAAACTCAATCTAAGAACATTGCAGTGGTTCTCCCGAGTTCCCCAATAAATTTATAGTCAAGTCAAGGGTTCCCAAGTTATGATCGGACATACAACAAACAATCAGAGATTACTACTTAATATGTCAATTAGCTCGGAAACCCAGCTTTGCCAGGAAACTAAATTTTCCCTTTAAAAAGTCAACTCACTCAACTTGGAGTGGTCAAACCGAGCTAAGAACATTCCTGTGGTTCTTCCGAGTTCAACCATCAAAATTTGATGCAAATCGGTCAAGGTGTTCATATGTTATGATCGGACAAACAAACAAACAGACAGACAGACAAACAGAGATTATTACTATATATAAAAATAATAACTCATAATTTAATTCAATACTTAAGATGATACTGCCTGAAAGTACTAATTAAAGACCTTTACACCCCCTCCCTTCCCTCCTCATTGCCTTATTTACTGATGTTGTCTGATTGCCTTGATGTGTTCTAATTAAAGACCTTTACATCCCCTTCCCTCCCTCCTCATTGCCTTATGTAATGAGGTTGTCTGATTGCCTTGATTTGTTTTAATTAAAGACCTTTACACCCCCTCCCCGCCCTCCTCATTGCCTTATTTAATGATGTTGTCTGACTGCCTTGTTGTTAAGCAATACAATTATAATTTAAAATTGTCTTTTTTCTTAAAAAATCGGAAATACCATCGTTGAAATCAATACATTTTTAATATCAATTTGACTTGAACATCCTTTTTTTCTTCTTAAATTCGGAAATGGCANNNNTATTTCAAGAGACTGGATTCTATATTTCAAGAGACTGGATTCTATATTTCAAGAGACTGGATTCTATATTTCAAGAGACTGGATTCTATATTTTAAATGACCCGTTTTTTTAAAGTAGCATGTCCAAGTCACAAAGGTACCTTAAAACCTTTGTTATTAATGAGATCTTCTTGTTTTTCTAGTTTGAAAATTGATTATTTCCACTGAGGGCTCTCTGAACAAGAGATTTGTGCATTTCTGCTTCATGGGATAAGGAAGAAAGTTGACAGAATTTGACACGTTTTTAGGTAAGAAATCTCGCCGCTTCTTGTGTTAAGGGTACAGTTGTGTATCGGACAAACCATATAATTTAATCAAGGATCATATCAATTTACGTCTGCAGTGTCTCTTTAAAACTCATTTTTTCTTTAAAAATCGGAAATGGCAAGATATCCCCATCCAAAGACTAAATGTCACAAATAAATTCAAATACCAAAGACGACTTTCAAGTCGTCTTCCTATTGTCATGTTTCGTGGGACACCCTGTATATATATTTTGCTCGTCTGTCTGTATCCAATGAATGTCTAAACGCGGCTGAACCGATCGGGTCCTAATTTTGTGTGGAACCTCACCCAAGGGAAGGTTTATAAATGCTCAAAATTACAAAAAATGTTTGTCCAAACGTTTTTAATTTTTGTTAAAGTTTGAAATTGCGCGAAAAATATTATTAAATCTGTGGACTTTTTTGTTTTTGTACAAAGAGAAGATGCTCAAAGATAGAGCCACAGTTAAAAGTTGAAATGTAAGATGGGCACGAAGCGTCCTAAAAGCCTAGTATCAAATACAACAGAAAGCATTCATTGTTTCCCCTTATGTTTTGACACCCTATATAATATTGTGCAGAACAGGGTTTCCTGTGACCATGGGCGTGATATTATGAGTTCTGGCGAAACATATAAAACGAGTGAAATCAACAAGGAAATCAAAGAGTGACACAGTTCAAGTATGAATCATAAATTCTCCCGTTGAAAACATATTTGTCATTTTTTTCATAAAGAAATTTTCTGTGCACCAAGTTTGGGATTTCCAAGAATTTTAGATTATGAGTTCAAAAGTGAACAGCAATGAACTTAAATTTCTGTGTTAAAGGGATATGTTGACGTAGTTTTAAGTAATCCTCTGTTCTTAATCATGTAATATTCATAACGGTAACCTTTGGTGTAATAACTGCCCCAAAATCAAAATTGGGATGGTATGTTATTTTTACCCTGTTTCTGTGAGCCGTTACAGAAAAACATTAAAATTCCACTTAATAAAAAAACCAAGACCACATCTTTTTTCTGTTCGTCTATGCGCGTTTTAAAGTGTAAAGATTCAACTCTCTCAAAGTTTTCGTTTTATGTGTTAAAATCGTGTTTCTGTGCATCGTGCATAAAAACATCAAAATGAGATTCTCTCTATATTTAGCTCTGAAGACTAATAAAATAATATTTACCACTCTGCAAAGTGTCCAATTTTAACGCCATCTGGTGCTTTTCTCCACATTTAATTACTTGATCAAACTACAGGGTGTCCCATTAGAAATATGACTTTAAAAAGTCCAATAAACATGAGACACGTCAACTGCGCAGTGCAAACAAACCCATTGTTACTAAATTAGCGCTTCAAAAATGACTAGAAAAACTATTTGCTTTGTAAACATCAAACACAGTATTTCTACAATTTCGTCTGCCTATTCCATTGTTTTCTGGATATCACTGTAAAACTTTGCAGTTCTGCAGTGTACATCAGACAAACTCTTCTCAAGTTTTTTTTGGCAACTGATATAAATATTTGCTTTGTAACCACGCCTGATTAACATAAAATTGCTCAAATGTCGTTTTCCTATTCCACAGTTCTATATGTCTCACTGTACAGTGTTCATACGAAAATGTTATGTTTAAATGTTTTGATGGATCCCCTGTCTTCTGTTTGAGCCAAGGTTGTTTACTCTTGATGCGCTCCAATGTACGGAAAATGTCGTCTCCTAAGACAGATAGATAAAAACCTAATATGACATCACTGATTATAGAGGCGAGAGTGACGTCATATTTGGTTTTTATCTATCTATGCTCAAGAGACGACATTTTTCGTACATTGGAGCGCATGGAGAGTATGCAACCTTATTACACAACCTTGGTTTCATCAGAGTCTATATATATTATTACCTGTTGCCGTGCAGTTTAATTGTTTATATAATCTTATATTAAGACTCCACTAGTCACGACTTGTTAAATGACAAGCCATGATTCATAATTGATGTGATGGCACTTTATTTAAACGTTTGCTTTGCTTCTAAGCCGTTCAATCAATGGTATATTAAAACTAATCCGAAGTTTTCTTAAATTTTTCCATTCTTCTTGGACAAATTTAAAGGTATTCTAATAAAAAATGGGGGGGGGGGGTTGAACAAAACACAATCCCTCATACCTTAATAATCTTCTCCATGTTGATCTCATACCTATCCAATGTTTAAGGAAAATTTCCACAAATGCTTCTTCATTCTTCATTCCCTTCAACTACACTGAGAAAATCATAAATTGTTTTTATAAACTTAATATTTTACTAGTATCTTACCCTTTATAGCTCTGTTTCTAATATTAACAATAAAAATAAACCTTTGGATTTCGGTGTACTAAAATTCAATTCAAGAAGCCGGATATGTCCAATAGCTCCTTGAACGAGCTGGGGAGTGTCCAATAGCTCCTTAACGAACCGGGGAGTGTCCAATAGCTCCTTGAACGAGCCAGGGAGTGTCCAATAGCTGCTTAAACGAGCCGGGGTGCAATCCATTATAGGTCAACGCTATTCAGTCTGACATAAAGTGCTAGGCGATTATATCAATACAATAAAGACGGCTTTTTTATTTAAGTTTTGATTGTTAACAAGCTTTTTCCGAATTGCAAGTTTAAGAGTAATCAAATTTTTTAATTGAAAGTTTCTATAGACTGCTTTTTATATGTATGTTTAACAGCATGATATAAAGCAACATCTTAATTGTATTGATATAGTCGCCTACTAGTTCAGTTTAGGCCTAACGTCAATAAACTGAACATGCTTTTGTGTTCTTTAGTTCTACTGGGATTACTATTCGCCTGTCATATCATTTCAGGACATTATTAATTTAATTTCCCGCATTTTCAACAAATTTCTTTTGTCGAGTCGAGTATTAGTAATACTTCCCGCTTTGAAATAAAATTAACGGTTTTGATACCTATATAGTAAGAATTTTAAATTGTTTCTGTCAATGTAAATACGTATGAAATTTAATTCTCGAATGTCTTCATATGGGGCAACCCCTCAAATGTTTCTAAATTAATTCTTAGTTTTAAAAAATACTTTATTAACATGGGTGTAGATTTAAAGATAAATTCATGAAAGTTTAACGCGGAGTAGATCTATTAGAAAATTCCTTTTTTACGATAATATAATGTATATACGCTACACTACACCGGGGACTGTAATGCCAGGACAAAGATCAAAAGAACAAAAAATTTCTCATTTATGTCAAAACAATTCTAACCTAGCTCCCATCTAAGCTAATCTCAAGGCGTTTTTTTATTTCTAAAAAAAATAAAGAAAAAAATTAGTTTGAATTTTTAAATTATCCGATATACTATACCATGTTCAAGTTTATATTGAATTTGAAGAAAAATGATCTACTAACATTAAGAATTTAGTTTTACATAAAATAAAAATTTAACTATTCTAATCAGAGTAACGGTGTGTGTAGCTACTGTATTTATGATATATGAATAATACATAAATGATTTTGAACCATGCTTATACAAAAGTCGGATATAAAAATAGAGGAAATGCAATTAATTTAACACAATTTTTAATGCTCCGTGGGTTTGCAGAATGTCTCGAAATTATGGCGCGAAATAAATATATTTGTACATAGAAATGCGCCATTTGATCAGGATTGTACATGGGATTTTTAACGATCGAAAACGAGATATATAAAAAATACTGAGGGGGTTCAGTCGTAAAATGTAAAAATGTGAAAATTAGATTAAATATGTACAATGGACAAATATACAGAAATATTATGTACAGAAATGAGACATCCTGAAAGGCCGACATTTAATCAATCTCAAAAGTTTGACGCGATAATTTGAATGTTTTAGTTTTTTAACATTTTACATTTTGAGTACAAATACCAATGTAGCTTAATTTCATTTTCAAGTAACAGAGGGAAGGGGGGGGGGGGTCTTAGCAGAAATTTTTAACTTAAAAAAATTCTCAAAAGATGGAGAGAAACAGACTTAATGGGTGTTCACTGTTTAGTTTAGAATGATAAGAATATTGTACTTCAACAATTGAGAAAGATTTTCTTACTTTTCCCTTTACAGTTGTTACAGAAGGAATAATGAATCTGATATTCCATGTTCTTTTAAACTGTAGTTATAGTTCGCTGAGCGGGGGTAGTTTAAATTCACACCCTTGATACAGGCTGATAGTTTATAGGTGCATAGTTTTCATAGGCCTTCAGGTAAAAATCTTGAGTAGGCACATTTTCCTTAGAGGGGTCTTGAGTTTTGAGATATCAGTGATTACTTCTGATTACCATTTGGATTTGAGAAGTTTAGTTTACCCAAACTTAGAATTGAGAAACAGTTCTCCTACATCAAGTGAAGTTGGAATAGGAAAGTGTACTCCATGTATTTAAGTGAAGTGGGAATAGGAAAGTGTACTCCATGTATTAAAGTGAAGTGGGAATAGGAAAGTGTACTCCATGTATTAAAGTGAAGTGGGAATAGGAAAGTGTACTCCAGGTATTAAAGTGAAGTGTGAATAGGAAAGTGTACTCCAGGTATTAAAGTGAAGTGTGAATAGGAAAGTGTACTCCAGGTATTACAGTGAAGTGTGAATAGGAAAGTGTACTCCAGGTATTAAAGTGAAGTGGGAATAGGAAAGTGTACTTCAGGTATTAAAGTGAAGTGGGAATAGGAAAGTGTACTCCAGGTATTAATGTGAAGTGGGAATAGGAAAGGGTACTCCAGGTATTTAATGGAGGACATTAACAGGAGAGTGAAATCCTACTTGCAAGTGGGAATAAGAAAGGTTACGAAGGTAGGAATAGAAACGAGTACTTCTTTATCCAGGTAGTTTAGTCTAGATCTATAACTTGAATAGATTTACTTCCTCCTCCTCCTCCTCCACTCCCAGGACCGTTAGAACCACAAGCCTGAACAGTATAAATCTATCAGAGGTATATATAACATATTCTGAACAGTATAAATCCATCAGAGGTATATATATTATATAACATATTTTGAACAGTATAAATCTATCAGAGGTATATAATAATTATTTTGAACAGTATAAATCTATCAGAGGTATATAATACATATTTTGGACAGTATAAATCTATCAGAGGTATATAATACATATTTTGAACAGTATAAATCTATCAGAGGTATATAATACATATTTTGAACAGTATAAATCTATCAGGGGTATACAATACATATTTTGAACAGTATAAATCTATCAGAGGTATATAATACATATTTTGAACAAATATTATCCCCACACCTATTACTTTCCGAGTATTTGTGAAAATATATAAATATGACACCCACTAACTAAAGTTTGCTGAAGTTCAGAAGAAAACAAATCAAATCAAGAAGTTAGGGATTGTCCATTGTCCAACAATGGGGCTACGCCTTTACTATCCCAAGCAGACCAGGAGTGTTAAGTCTGACTCAGGGGTAACAATTTAATACAAAAACTTATTGATAATACGTCAGTAATATTCAACTAATAGTTGATACAATCAATTCCAATTCAATTACTGAGATAATTATGCAGCCATGTACAGAAGCTGAACGGGGTATATATTCTTAAATTACAGTTACACCCATAAAAAACCATTTATAAGAATATATATTCATGAATACTTAACCACCGGATACTGGATATATACCTGGATACTGGAATACTTAATATATACCTGGATACTTGAATACTGGATATATACCTGGATACTTGAATACTAGATACTGGATATATACCTGGATACTAGAATACGGGATACAGGATATCTACCTTGATACGTGCATACTGGATATATACCTGGATACTTGAATACTGGATATATGCCTGGATACTTAAATACTGGATACAGGATATCTACCTGGTTACTTGAACACTGGATACTGGATATATACCCGGATACTTGAATATTTGAATACTGGATTCTTAAATACTTGATACTGCATATATATCCTACCTTACACCTGAACAGGCTTGCTAGAAGATGAATCCTATTATGGGGAATCCCTACACACACAGGGTGGAAGAGAGAATGACAGGATGAGCATTCTAACTCCGGTATCCCTGTTACTCCGGGACAAAATGGAGAACAGGGGCTGAAATTCGAGACAGAGGGACCACTGAAAATATCAAAAATTAAATTTTTGTGACATTGAAAAAACAATACTTCTATATTAAAAACAATTGGTACCTTTTCCTGCCAGCTGTCTGAATAGGCCGGGGGGAGCTGTGTCGAACCTGAGCCTGTATCTGCCGAACAAACTGCTGTGCACGGCCGGCCGGAGTAGTTCTTCCGACCTGCGGCCGATTTTGTTGCTGATGATTCTGCGTCCGATTGATCGGTCGGATACTGACGCCTGAGGGCAGTGACGGTATGGTGTGTATTGCCGGTTTTCGTTCTTGTCTAGGGGGTGGCGGCCGACCCTTACCAACCGGTGGATGCATCTTGTTGTCAATGACTGTGTACTTCTGTTCGTTGCTGGCAGAAAATGAGAGAGTTGTTCCGATTTTCACCTTAAATATTTATACAAATGGAAATGAGAAATATAACTTATATTAATCCATTAATTGATAATTATCCATCAAATCAAATACTATCAATAAATAAATTCACCTTGAGCGCAACATGCCGTGGAACGTTCAAAAGAACTGCGTTTCCGCCCTGTGCAGGCCGAACCAAAATGGACACCTAAAACATTCAAATCATTGAAAAATATGTTAAAACAAAATAGTTGATAACAGAAAAACATCGAGCCCAAAAATACTTCCTTGGGGAACTCCACACGTTAAAATTTTTAATATCCTTCTTTAAAAAAATGCTTTTTTGTTTTTAACCTGATCTGAAGAACTGGGTGGTTTACTGGTCTGTTGTTGCGGTTGTTGTGGTTTCTGTTGCTGTGGTTTCTGCGGTTGCCGGTTTGCCGGGGAACCGTTGGTGTTGCTCTGGAAGGGTCGAGATCCAGGACTGGGGTTAATTGCGATAAATACTTGCTTGGCACCAATCTTAGGAACCTTAAATAAAATAGAGTTACAACATGCACATATTAATTATCGTACATGTAACATACATACATAGTACATACATACATACTTCTAAGATATAATCATCAGAATGTAGAAGTGAATCAATTTATCAACATATAACCATATCAACATAATTGATTTAACGCAACAATAATGAAATAATCACATTAACAAACTGAATCCAAAAAAAATCTTACGAGAACTCAACGTCTTTGCAACTTTGGATATCTCAAAAAGCTATTCAAACATTTAATCAATCAATCAATCAAGCATTTAATAAATCAATCAATCAATCACTCAATCACTCAATCAAATTAACAATTAAATATACCTGGACAGATCTTTGATACAATGTTTTCCGCATTGAGTTTGCTTGATCAAACAATCGCTTTGGTATAGATTCAGTAACCTAGAACGTAAACATGAAAGATCTGACAGAGGGAAACCCTAGATCATAAATTTTAAAAAATTCACGATTTTTTAAAAAATCCGCGAACTTTTTTGTTTATTTTTGTTTTACAGAGTAAACAAAGAGAAAATGTTCAATTAAAATAGAAGATGCCTATTACGGAAAAATTAAAGTGGAACCCCCAGACCGCCCTACTCTGCATAGTGCAGCGGATCAATAAATATAATGATGATAATTAAAAACGTTCCAATAATAAGAATAAATTGATTTAACAAAAAATCTAAATTAAGTCAAAAATACAAATTGGTCAACATTTAATCCCCCCCGCATTAGTAGTTGTGAAGTTTAAAAAATGTAATCTTTGAACTAAAAATAAAGAAAATGTTTTTAATTTTACAACCAGTGTACAATCATCAAAAGTTCGCGGAAAACAGAGATATGAAAATATGAATCAGCTGTTTTCTACGGATTAAGCTCAAAGATAGACATTAAGTTTATGCATTGTAGATCAGAGATTTCTCTCTCATAAGTTCCGAAATCAGACTAACCAAAAATTACCTGTCTGTTATTGGTGAACTTGATGGGTTGATATTTGCCGTTATTGAGCATAACAAGCTCGACAACAGGTCGTTTACCGTTAGTGGATAACATGGGCAGTCGAACCTAGGATAAAATGGATAAGAATAACATAACATGGATAAAATGGGCAGTCAAACCTAGGGATAACAACATGGATAAGAATAAGTTAATGAATAACATGGGCAGTCAAACCTAGGATAACATGGATAAGAATAACTTAATGGATAACATGGGCAGTCAAACCTAGGGATAACAACCTGGATAAGAATAACTTAATGGAAAACATAGGCAGTCGAACCTGGGATACCAACATGGATAAGAATAACTTAATGGATAACATGGGCAGTCAAACCTAGGATAACATGGATAAGAATAACTTAATGGATAACATGGGCAGTCAAACCTAGGGATAACAACCTGGATAAGAATAACTTAATGGAAAACATAGGCAGTCGAACCTGGGATACCAACATGGATAAGAATAACTTAATGGATAACATGGGCAGTCAAACCTGGGATCAACATGGATAAGAATAACTTAATGGATAACATGGGCAGTCAAACCTGGGATAACAACATGGATAAGGATAACTTAATGGATAACATGGGCAGTTTAACCTAAGATAACAACATGGATAAGAATAACTTAATGGATAACATGGGCAGTCAAACCTATTATAACAACATGGATAAGAATAACTTAATGCATAACATGGGCAGTCAAACCTAGGATAACAAAATGGATAAGAATAACTTAATGGATAACATGGGTAGCCAAACCTAGGGAGAACAACATGGATAAGAATAACTTAATGGATAACATGACCAGTCAAATCTAGGATAACAACATGGATAAGAATAACACAATTATGATAAAAGTTTCAAGTGTAGTCTAAATATGATGAAAAAAAAATTTACTCCAAAAAGAACAAATAATCTATCAATAACTAATCAATTCAATTAAATTCAATTCATGAAACTGTGGAGGTGTCCAAAAGCTCCTTGACTCATGGGGGAGGGGTATGCCATCACACTCCCTTCAAGGTCAAGGCTTTTGACATAGCTTAAGCCTAACGTCGGACACACGACCAATTTTGATACATGTCACCGGTTCGATTCCTTTTCTCAGCAAGTTGCCAAACAACTGTATTACACATTTAGTTAAGTGCTAACAAAGAGAATCTCCCTCCCGGTTGACGGATGTTATGTAGTGAATGTTGAATAGAGGATATTGGACTAAATGTACTATAGGTTATTTGATCTATGAATTGTATTACCTTGTAAATAAATATTTGAGTGTTCTTAAAAGGTAATTATGTTTTTTTATTTAAAAAAGTATTATGAAGTTTATTAATCTATGACTTGGCATTCGTACGTTATAACACCAATCAATCAATCAATCAATCAATCAATCATACATTCATTCAATTAATCACATGTTCTACCTTGACGAAGCCGACTGAGTTAGTATTTGAACTCCTGGCGGCTGATGGTGGGGGACGGAAACCAGCAGCTCCAACTCTTCCAACTATTCCTCGTTGTACTGGTCGGCCATGCAGGCTTCTACAGTTATAAAGGTATCCCAATCAATCAATCAATAAATTAATCAAATATGATATTAATCCTTTTTTCTCTGATAAAATAAGACTTTTCATAATTAAGAAGCTTGCTTTAAAGTAAATACACACCAGTCAATCAAAATAAGCATTAATTTATAAATGAATCAATCAATCAATCAAATTACAATTTAACAATTAATCACCTGTGTTGGAAGGGAACCACTGGTGCAAAGTCCTTGTACTTCTTGATTGCAGCATCATGAGATGCCAAATTATCCTTCATGTTGAGATCCTTGTTCCCCTCTGTTATACGGAGCATTGGATCCACCAAACCAGTTCTACACGCAGAGTAAGATCATGCTTTCCATTTAAATTTGTGAGATTGCTTTTATTATTTCTCAGGTTGCTTTTTGTAAAGATTCCTAACTAGTCTGTTTGTCTTTTAATCCTTTGTTTAGTTGTCTGTCTTTAATCCTTTTTATCATTGTTTGTTCGTTCCTTAAATTTCTTGAATCATTAATTCTTGCATTTAATTAATTTTTCATTGACTCAACCACTTGTTTATTCTTTTAATCCATTCTTCGTTTTTTTTTTTTTCATGCTTTCCTTTGTCCACTAATCCTTTCTTATTTTGTTAATTCATTCTTAGATGAATTCAGTATATGGTAGTTTATTCCTTGTGTTGGTTTTTAGTTTTTAATATGTCTGTTTACTTTAATTCGATTATTTTATTTTATTTTATTTGTTTTTGTTTTATAATTAATTCAATTTTGAATTCTTTTCGTCCTAGAATGTTATTTTAACGATAAAACGAACAAATCCTATTTATTGAAAAAAGATTGAATTATTAAAATTATTTAAATTCACCTAATTTCATCTAGTTTCTGATTTATTGCGGCAATTGTAGGATGTGAAGTAAGACGGAGAGCACGAAGGGGCGGAGGTGTTGAAGGACTACTCCGCCCTCCAAGCTCATGGTAGATACCTAAATAGTCAACAAAAAATCAATAAAAATCAAATAAATTCTTTTCAGACTAAATTATATCAATGAGATTCACTTTCCCAGTAAACCAAAAATCGTTGTTAAAACGTTATGCAATCGTTAATTTAGACAAGGTTACTTAATTTTTATGTTACATTGTAATCTTTGTAATGACAAATGTTTCTGTTACGTAAAAATAAAATGAATTATCTGTCATTTAGGGTTAAAGGATTGAACTGACCTAATGGATCATCGTCAAGTAGAGTCCAAGATATCTCTTCAGCCAGGTGGGGGGTCACACAACGGTCACGATTAGGGTACTAGATGTATAAATAGATCAGTATATGTATACTGATACTAGATATATAGATAGATCAGTATATGTATACTGATACAAGACATATAGATAGATCAGTATGTGTATACTGATACTAGACACAGATAGATCAGTATGTGTATATTGATACTAGATATATAGATAGATCAGTATATGTATACTGATACTAGAGATATAGATAGATCAGTATGTGTATACTAGATATATAAATAGATCAGTATATGTATACTGATTCTAGATATATAGATAGATGTATACTGATACTAGAGATATAGATAGATCAGTATGTGTATACTGATACTAGACATATAGATAGATCAGTATATGTATACTGGTACCTATCAGAAAGATACTACAAGGTGATAGAGACTGAACAAATAAATGGAATATTAAATAACAGAAACATGTGCATATAGAGTATGTATACAGATAGATCCTTTTTATAGAAACTAGAAAGATAGATAAAGTAGACATAAAGATCATTTTAATAGAAACTAAGATAGATGGAGAATGCATAAAGATTTTTTAGCAATAAACTATAAAAGATGGAGTATCCATAACAATCATTTTGATAGAAACTATTAGGATAGATGGAGTATACATAACAATCATTTTGATAGAAACTATTAGGATAGATGGAGTATACATAAAGATCATTTTGATAGAAACTATTCAGATAGATGGAGTATACATAAAGATCATTTTGATAGAAACTATTCAGATAGATGGAGTATACATAAAGATCATTTTGATAGAAACTATTAAGAAAGATTGAGTATACATAAAGATCTTTTTGATAGAAGCTATTAAGATAGATGGAGTATACATAACAATAATTTTGATAGGAACTATTCAGATAGATTGAATATACATAAAGATCTTTTTTGATAGGAACTATAAAGTTAGATGATGTATACCTAAAAATCATTTGATAAAAACTAGAAAGTCAGATGAAGTATAAAAAAAGATCATTTGATAAAAACTAGAAAGTTAGATGAAGTACACATAAAGGTAATTTTATAAAAACTAGAAAGTTAGATGAAGTACACATAAAGATCATTGATAAAAACTAGAAAGTTAGATGGAGTATACCTAAAGATCATTTGATAGAAACGAAGACATAAAGATAATTTTGAAGGAAATTAGGAAGATAGAAGTGTTTATTATTTCAAGTAGAAAAATAAAGAGACAGATTAGTAAAAAAGTGAATATAATGAGATTCAGAAAAAAAGAGTAGAATTAGTATTTGTCGGATTATGACAGAAATTTTAGCAGTAGGAGTATTTTGCTGAACTCTATTTTACCTTATGTCTCTTCTTGGATTCCTCTCTGAGCGGGGTTACTCGACTTAGAACCTAAACAAGAAATGTTGATTTGGTTAGATAAACTACATAAGTAAGTCAGTATTAGAGTAGGAACCCTTGGTCCCTGTATTAACCTGTAATGAGTGGGATCCCCTGGTCCTCCTATTAACCTGTAATGAGAGTTGTAGCTCCTGGTCCTCCTATTAACCTGAAATGAGAGTGGGAGCTCCTGGTCCTTCTATTAACCTGTAATGAGTTGGAGCCCCTGGTCCTCCTATTAACCTTTAAAGTAGAAGTCCCTGATCCTCCTATTAACCTGTAATGAGAGTGGGAGCCCCTGGTCCTCCTATTAACCTGTAATGAGAGTAGGAGCCCCTGGTCCTCCTATTAACCTGTAATTAGTGGGAGCCCCTGGTCCTCCTATTAACCTGTAATTAGTGGGAGCCCCTGGTCCTCCGATTAACCTGTAATGAGAGTGGGAGCCCCTGGTCGAACTCAGTAATGTCTTGAACCTCCTCAGCCTCGTCCTCTGAACTGTTGGAAGACAAGAGGCCCTCGTGTTCAGCAACTTCCTTGTAGCTCGCAATCTGGAGAAATATTTAATATAATCATGGGATAAAATATGATTTGGGTTTCTGCTGGATCCGGTGTCGTGCAATCAATTTCCTCCCCCCCCCCCTAGGACAGCCCTGTAAAAAAATGATCTTTTTCTTCAGAATAGAAATAAAGGAAACTAAGAAAAATCCAAAATATTTTCCTTTTTTGACAGTTATTTCGCGTGCCGCAAAAAACGTGATTTTTTGACGATTATTGGACATTTTTTATTTTAAAGTAAATTTTTTCGCCAAATCCTCATTTTTTAACTTAGAATGATGTTTTATATCATTTTGGAAATCCCAAGTGCAACTTTAACACACGTTACGGATTAAAAGCATTGTTATAGATTAATTATCATTGGAAAAAGCATGAACATGTATCCAATTCTCCAATAAGTATTATTTTTTTTTAAACTTCTATAGTTTTAAGAGTTGTCAACTTTTATACTTTTTTTTAAAGCCCGGCTTTGAGCATAAAGTGAGGGGCATGTGTTAGAAAAGTAAAAAAGTTTGAACAGCCTCAGACCAATACTTGTAGAGTCTTCAAAAAACGTCAGGGGGGGTTGGGTACCAGGGACCCGCCCCCCCCCCGTCGGAATGGGGTTAACTTAATTGCATAATAACAAAGAGAAAATTAACAGTTCCTGCGGAATTGCGGAATTTTCTGTTAATTTTCAGAACTTTCAAAAACAGATCTTTAAATGAACCGAAACAAATATTCACCTTGTCGTTTTATTAAAGTTAAGAGATGTAACTATAAAAACTACAATATTTTTTTTAATTGCATTGATTAACGTATACCATTCAGTTCAACTTGCACATTTTACCTTTGTTTTAATTGCATTGATTAACTTGTTTCATTAAGTACAATAAGCAGTTTACATTGTTCATACTGTAGCACACATTTGGAGTTATCACGCATAAACAAAGTGATAAATTAGCAACAGTCCAGAGGATAAAATGCCATGCGTAAGACATAGATGGCGCTGCTTTCAATATTTCTCAAGACCTCAAATTATACTAGCTTATCGTATCTATATATTTATTATCTTTAGATTTATTAGTGTTCACCTTTCCAGCCCGGGTTCTCTTGTCACTACGTGTCTCTAGACTCGGTTTAGAATACCTGGAATAAAATAAGAATTCAGCAGGAAACTATAAATGTCAAAGCTAAGTAGCTTAACTGAATCTTTAAGCTAAGTAGCTTAACTCTTCAACTGAATCTTTAAAATCATAGAGTGAGGTTCTACCCAAAAGATAGAAATGTATTAACTGATCTGTATTTACTGATCTCTCTTAAACCGTTTAATTAGAAGATAATGAACAATTGAGAGGTCTAGATAAATACAATTGTAGCAGAAAATTACTCAACTCAATGAGTTGAACAAACCCCATGCTTTACCACATGAAAATTAGAAAAATGTACACTTTAGGACATTATCTTAGAAAAGAACAAAATGAGAGGATCATTTAAAGAAGAAAATACATAAAAAAATAGATATTTCTCTTAAACATGCCCCCCCCCCGCCCCTGCTTAGCACAAATAAAACTTGATGAAAAATAATGAAAAAGATGAAAGGTTCTTAAACATTTGAATTACCTAACAATCTCATATGCTTCATTATTAAGCTCCAAAGGTCTGCGAACATAAGTAAAGTTATTTACAGAGAGCTGAGGATGTGGGAACTCCTCAAAATATCTCTCCTAAAATATAAGGAACATTATGAGAAGTATTTTAACAAAGTTTTAAAGATTTTTAACAAATATAAGTATTTTTAACAAAGTGTGATAAATTTTAAACGAGGTGTGAAGGATTTTTAAAAAGTAGGAAGGATTTTCAACGAAGTATTTTAACAAAGTGTGAAGGATACTTAACAAAGTATGAAGGAATTATAACAAAGTGTCAAGTATTGTTACCAAAGTGAGGAAAGATTTTTAATACAGTGTAAAGGATTTTATATGAAGTGTGAAGGATGTTAAATAAAGTAAGGATTTTTAATAAAGTGTGAAGGAGGTTTAACAAAGAGCTAAGTAGTTTTGCAACCTTTAAACACATTTTGAAGTTTTCAATGTGTGACATCAATTAAAAAAATTCGAGGATATAAATATTTAAAAAAAAATTCATAAAAACTTATAAATTATGACGACAATTTAAAATAACTAGTGGTCATGGATGCGGAAAAGTTTCCCGTTTTTAATTTAAAATGCTAAACGTTAATCAATTTTCAATAAAAAGATAGCTTTCGTCAATTTAAAAAATAATAATGCCTGACTAACTTTACTAGATGTTATAATGTCTCCATAATTAAAGAGGTTCCCACCTGATCTACTTTAGATCGTCGCTTTCTCCGGGCCTCCCTATTCCTTGCTCCATGGTCCTCTCCGTCCTATAAAATAGAAATATCTAATTTCTGCAGAACTAGTTTTTAATATTAAATACGAGGATCCCCAGACCACCGCCAGCTGTTGTTACCAATATCTATTGTCCAATGTTTGCATATACGCATTTGTTGTGTTTATTTCAAATAATAACTCAAGTCTATATAATAGCTCTTCGCTCATATATACATATATATATATATATATATCAATACAACTTCATATCATGTTTTGAATACTTATTTTCTTGTATATTATATGTATATATTCCCAAGTGTTTTTAAATTCCACGGGCAACGCCGGGCACTTCATCTAGTATTAAAAAAAATAAAATATTTACCTTCGGTGGCCAGTAAAAAATATCTATTTGAGGAGGGCCAGCCTTTACTTGACGTACAGAAGCTTCACGGGTCCAACCCAATCTTAATCAAATCAAATGAAATTGTAAAAATAATAAACCCCATGTTAAGGTGAAGTGAACAGAAACATGTGATAGAACAACCAGACACTGATGAGCTCTTGGAACTTTGAAGAACCTTTTGTGATTCACCAATCACAATTTTGAAACTAAAGTAAAAACTTATTTTATTCTTAAAATATTTGAAATATTAATGTTTCAGAGTGATTGTGCAAGGATAATCGGCATAAGTTTTGGATATTCTCCTAACCTTAAAGGTCAAAATAACTTTTATAAACATTGATAAAATAGCGTAAATTTGAGCATTAATACTTGAGCATAATCCGAAAAAGGCAAAAATTAAACATTTAAAAAACTATACAGGTGAAGAGTGATAATGAGAACTGATCAAAGGTACTACTAATCGAGGATTCAGGATCCATCGTAAACGGATCAAGGATTCAACAAATCAAAGATTCAACAAATCAAGAATCAAGGATTCAACAAATCAAGGATCAAGGACTCAACTAGACAAGGAAACCTTCAAAGAAAGTCAACATAGAACAGGAGAAGTCTAGCCTGGATGTTGCCAACGTAAGTCCTTGTGTGATTATGTATTATTATTACTAAAAGTTAAAAGATCCTCTGCATTCTAATACTGTTCAAACAAACTAAAGATTCCTTTATTATGCACTAATTTTAAACTGATAAAAAACTTAACAAAAGAAAAATCTAAATATTTTAAACTCTTAAAAAGGTTAAGAGTTTAAAATATTTAGATTTTTCTTTTGTTAAGTTTTTTATCAGTTTAAAATTCTAGGATGGATATATTTTAAAAACATAAGTATGTAAAATCAAATCAAATCACAAAGGGCGGGGATGACAATGGACTCCAGTAATGGATTGGAGGTTCAAGTCCTTTCCGTGTCCTGGTTTTTCAGTCTGGACTTCTTCCTATTTTTTAAAAAAATCTCATCAACAGTTTTTTGTAAAGCGCGAAGTTCCTTGCCACACGACCAAATTTGAGCCATGCCTCACTTTTGGACCTCCGTCATACAAAATTTACCCTGTAATCGTGCTAAAATTGCATGGCTGAGGTCTCCCCAGCGAGTATTTAGATTCAAGTGTATATTTTGAAAAAGATAAAACTAAGGAGCTTATTATTTAAAACTTGTTTGATTAATAAAATTTTCAATTAATGTATGTCAAAGAAATTAGTTTAAACAATATTTGACTAGCTAGTGAATTAAATGTATGTTCTTGTAATCTTGTAAGAGAAGTAACAAGTCTAGTCTAGAAATAAGATTAGTTCAATCGGGAAATTATGGTAATGAAGAACAACTATTGTATAAAGATTTTAATTTTATATTATTTAGGTTTTTTGATCGCTCAAAACTTATAATTCCAGATGAGCGCATATAAAAAATTGGCTTTAAAAATGGCAGGCTGGTCATTCTGCAGATAAAATATCAAGAAAAGGTGGGATATTTTGACAGAAATCAAATTAAATGAAATCGAATCGAATCGAATCGAATCGAATCGAATCGAATCAAATCAAATCAAATCAAATCAAATCAAATCAAATCAAATCAAATCAAATCAAATCAAAATCAAATCTCGAAGTTTAGGGAAAGCTTTTGGCTCCATTAAGAAGCCTGGAGGTTCAATTCCCGATTGTGTAAAGGGTTTTTAACTTTGACATTTGTGATAAATCATTATTCAAATACAGATATTTGAATGAAAGCCGAAGAAATATTAAAATTATAACTTTTTTCATAATCTTCTTTATTTTTCCTATTAAAATAATTTTCTTTTCGTGAAAAAAAACGTAACAATTCTTTAATGTCCCTGAAAACATGAGTGCTATATTGGAAAACTAAGGAAGAAGTGGAGAATTCTTTAATGTCCCTGAAAACATGAGTACTAAATTGGAAAACTAAGGAAGAAGTGGAGAATTTCTTTAGAAAATTTATATTCAGGGAGTACAGCCATCAAAAAAATAGATGAACATTCAAGGTTATATAATATTAATCAGAGAAGGAGGGGGTGGATGGGAGATGTTTTACAATGAGAGGGGAGGGGGATTCAATGGCTTAATTGCAAGGGTGGTGAGGGAGGAGAGGTAGAACCAACCCAAGAAGGAAGAGGTGTCTCTATTATTTACCTGAAAGGAAGAAGAAAGTCCTGATCTATTTTCCTTGAAGCTCCCACACCCGGCTGTCGAGATCTATCACCCTGAACACAATCATTAATAATAATTTTTATATTGTTTTACAATTATTTGTAATAATTTGATATTGTTGTACAATGTACACGCAATTTTAAAAATCTATTTAAAAAATTAAATGTAAGATTCACGATGTCCGTGAAACTTTTTTCATTTCAAAGATGATTGGACATTACTTTTGAGGTTTCGACGAAAATTGATTTTTTCAATAAGGATTCTCTGTAGAAGTGTAACCATGTATCTTACCTTTGATGTATCCTCTACAGTTGGTTCCTCTTCCTTCTCAGTGTCGGATACCTTTTCACCTTCTGCAAACAATATATCAATTAATTGAAAAATCATCAATCAATTACTTCCAAGCAGGATAACTCATTCCGCCACCACACTTCTTCCACTCTTCCCACTGAAACTCTGTTCGCAATTAATTCACGAATCGATCTTTCAATTAAGAAATATGCCAATCAAATCATAAACCGTTTAATCTATTCTGGAATCATTAAAAAATCGCGAAACATTGATAAATTTATAAATCTTCAAATCATTTCAGGAATTATTTTATAAATTCATGAATAATTTACAATTCATGGATTTCGTTATCAATTCATGAATAATTTACAATTCATGGATTTCGTTATCAATTCATGAATAATTTACAATTCATGGATTTCATTATCAATTCATGAATAATTTACAATTCATGGTTTTCTAAATATATTCATGAATACATTAATCTTTTCGTAAATAATTATCAATTAATCAATTAATTAATCACAAAATCATTTGATGAATACCTCAATGAATTTATGAATTACTTGATCAATTAATTAGCTATTAAATCACAATTAATTAACTAATGAATCAATCAAATAATTAACTTATTCATGACCAATGCATTGCATTTAACTAAAATACTGTACCTGACTGTTCATCGTCTTCGTTCACACGTGTTGGACGTTCTGTGGGCTTTTGCAGCATCTGGACCAAGAGAATCAATTAATTTATGTCAATTTTATTAGGTATATTAGGAATTTTTTAGCGAGTACGCGGGCTGCCTTTAACGACAAAACTTATTTAACCAGGCAAATTTGTTGACAAGGGTATTTTTCGATTAAATTACAAAAACCAGGGACAAGAGTTTAATCCCTACTTATTCTACAATACAGTAAACAAATTTAAGTTTATTACTTTTACATCGAGATTAAAATGTAATTGATTGATTGAATAATTTCCTTAGTTTTCTCTCTCTGTGTATCATGAACGCTTTTCACTTGGCCATTTTCTTCCTGGTCTTTCCTAAAATTCCGGCGTTTAAATAAAAGAAAGAAAAGTTCTACAAAATAATAAATATCTCGGCTCGCCGTCAGAGAATAATTGTTTTAAGGGTTCAAAATGTTTCTTTAAACGCCCATGTTTCCTGAGATCTGTCCGTAGTCGAATTCTGGAGGATTTTCTGACTGGAACATCCGATTTATCATCAGGGGATTTACGCTTCGTTCCATTTTTCTGCTCGTCCTCTGTGGTCATTGGTTCGTCCTCTGCGTTCATAGATTCGTCCTCGTCTCCCTCTTCGTTCTCGAGGATTTCATCCTCAAGAGTATTATCGACATCTATAGTTTAATTAAACATGAATTCGCCAATTATTATTTATTAAGTATACTTTAAAGGTACTGTTCACGTTTTTTACAGAGACCCTCAATTTATCAGTTTCTGGGATTCACAACAGTATTCTTTAAAACAGATAATAATAATTTATTATGACGGAAACTGAATACATTTAACAGGTGTACTGTGTACACTGTACACTGGAGTTTCAAGTCTTGAAACACGGTAGGTTTAACGAGAACCATTGTGAATCAGACATGACACTCTATAAATGGAGAGATTCTGAAAAATACTTCTACAGTACATTTCAACGTTTTAACTTCCAAATTAATAATTAAATAATCCTTTAATAATTTTTCTCATTTCATATTTTATCCCTTGATCATCTGCCAGAACCTCGTCATCTTCAAGTCCATCTTCTTCTAACTCTTCGGTCATATTCAGAGGATCATTGTCGGGTGTTTCGTCCAACAAATCAGCATCACCAACCAACTCAGAATCGTCGACGAACTGCTGCTCGTCATCAAGACTGACACCGTCCGTGACGATCTCTTCTGCATCGTTTAAGTCGTCGTTTTCTGTGTCTTGATCTTCAGTTTCAGCTTCAAGTTCGTCACTAAACTCGTCTTTAAAACCACTTTTGATTGACACACTTGAACTGTTGATAAGAGGTTCAATTTCATCTTTGATATCGATTTCATCCTCTTTAATATCAATTTCGTCCGCCATCGTGGCCATCTTGGATTTTACAAAATCCACCAGTTTTATTTATTCGCAGATTCTTTCAATCGATCGGGTCACATTTTTTATTCTGAAAATATACATTTTCAAATTTAAGTAAATGTCTAAAACGCGTCTGCTCGGACCTTTTTTTACTACTTAATAAGGGTTTTTGTGAGAATAACAATTAACAGTGAATCAAATGCAGAATGAATTTAGGGCGCTATGGTTACAAAGCTTGACAAATCCCCAAATAATAATAAATAATTTAGGACTCAGTTTATCCCCTCTCTAACCCTCTAAGGCTCGAAACAAAACGTGTTCTCGTGCTGTCTAATAAATAAGTTAATTGTAAAATTTCTTGTTCTGCTTAGCCATGTCGAGAAGGAGTTGGCAGGGCGTGAATGCCGCGCCGTAGTGTTGCTCGAATCTGCGCATATGATCCACAAGTTTACCAGCTCCCATGGTGTCGGTGTATCTAAACAAATATATTTTAAAATAAGTTTCTTTTTCGACTTCAGAACTCAATTTAGACCGAAATATGTTTTCAAAAACAATAATATGAAATACATAATGAACTTTTCAAAGGTTTGGATCTCACATCAGCAAAGCGAGACTATTTTAACAGGGAATCATGATATGGTCATCAATCAATCAATCAATCAATCAATCAATCAATCAATCAATCAGAGTTTTAGGGATGCACTACTATCCACATATCAACCTCCAGATGAAATTACTCAATCAAGAATGAGATATGGTCTTGAATTTAGTTTGTAGCAAATTTGCTCTGAGATAAATTATTTTTCACAAAATAAACTTTTAACACTATTGAGAATTTGTAAACACTAATTTTACTTAGGAATGCAGGGGTGTATATTTTCTGTTAAGTCATCCCCCCACCCCCTGAATTAGATATGTTTTTGAGGTTTATTCGTTAAACTCGGAGAAACAAATGATTTTTAGGAGACATTTTTTTCATATGCATCCTCCTCCCCCAGCAAAAAAAATTATAATTCTTAAAAATCTATTTAAGATTATCTAAGGAATGGGAGATAAAACTGACCTGAATGGACCTCCGGAGAATGGGGGGAATCCAAGTCCAAAGACTGCACCAATATCTCCCTCTAGGGGTGTCCTCAGTACTCCGTCTTGGTGAGAGAATATGGCCTCGTTCACAAACCTTCAAGTTAAAACCAATATAGAGGACAGGCATATTTTAACCCGTGCGTTGGATAAAATTTTTAAAACTGTACCTTGAGGAAAGAATTAATGAAAAGCGAAAAGTAGATGAACTAGGTCTTGGGAATTAATCTACTTCTCAAGTAGTTTAACTATCCATACCTAGTTCAACTATTTCTCACTATTCATTAAATTCAATCTCTGATATAGAGAATTTCATACAAGATGAGTGGATGAAGGGATGAAATAAAGAAAGGAGGAAATAATGAATGGATGAGTGGATGATCAAGGATGAAAGGATGAAAGTAGGAGTGAGTGATTAAGGATGAATGGGTGAGTGGATGAAAGTAGGAGTGAGTGATCAAGGATGAATGGGTGAGTGGATGAAAGTAGGAGTGAGTGATCAAGGATGAATGGATGAGTGGATAAAAGTAGGAGTGAGTGATCAAGGATGAATGGGTCAGTGGATGAAAGTAGGAGTGCGTGATCAAGGATGAATGGGTGACAGGATGAAAGTAAAAGTGGGTGATCAAGGATGAATGGGTCAGTGGATGAAAGTAGGAGTGGGTGATCAAGGATGAATGGGGAGTGGATGAAAGAAGGAGTGAGTGATCAAGGAAGGATGGATGAGTGGATGAAAGTAGGAGTGGGTGATCAAGGATGAATGGGTGAGTGGATGACACTGACAGAAGGAGTGGATGACAGAAGAAGTGGGTGATCAAGGATGAATGGGTGAGTGGATGAAAAAAAGAATTAGTGGATGAAAGGAGTAATAAACGAAATGAATGAACAAATAAATTGATGACGTGTATAATTTACCTTGTAAGCAGCCTGAGCGCGATATCATCGTCTCCACCCACGCTGGCGTTGGGGGCAAGGGAGTGGTTCTTTATCAGGGACATTGCCTCCTCATTAATGGGTCGCTCCTGGGCAACATTTCCATTTTAAGGTTTAGAAAATTAATTTTTAATTTTAGAAAATTTATTTTTATTTTACTGATAGGCAGATAGTATTAAGGTCAAAATTTACGAATATATAATATATCAAAATATAAAATTAAAGACATCTTTTTTGCATTGGTCAAATTATTCATTTTAATACTAATGTAAGCTCTTTTCTTCACTTATACTATTTAATAAAGAAAACTAAAACAAATTTCTTGACATTTCGCTAGCTGTGGGAAGAATATTAACAATGCAATGCAGTTCACAGAACTATTTAAGGATTAAAAAAATAGTTAACTTTCAAAAGATTGTCAACAAATATGACTGATGTTTTTATTAACATGATGTACCTTGGTATCCTTCGCGTAAACAAACATTCCCTTCCCGGATTTTCTGCCACACATGTTTGCGTTCACCAAGTCCTGGAAAATTACAAGTTAAATAGAAAATGAAAGTTTTTTATGTTAAGGAATTCATTTTGTTTTATTCTAAATTCCCTGGCCTTATTTACTATTCTCTCTTTCTTTTCCTTTATCCCTTTTTTCAAAATTATTTCCATTTGTTTTTTCTTTATTTTTCCCAGTTCCTATACATTCTTTCCCTTTCTTGCATAGCATTAGCCTTTGCATTTCATAACAAAAGTTTTTATCAGTGTAATTATATAATTTATTCAATTTTGATGGAATTTATCACACACTATTTCCCGTTAGAACAGGGTGATTAAGTAACTTTATCGACCTGCTTTTAAATAATTTGAGTAAAATTGAATAAAACTAAATGTGTTATTGAAATGGGTATCACGCGTGCGTAAAAGTTTTTGCTGTGATTTTTAATTTTTCTAGTTTGTTATCGATCAAAATAAAAGTATTTTCACACTTCACTACGTTCGGTGTGAAAATACTTTCATTTTGATCTTAAACAAACTAGAAAAAAACTAAAAATCCCGGCAAAAACTTTTTCGCACTTAATAATACCCATTAAAATGACATAAATAGATAAAAACCATTGACTCCGTGTTTATGTACGAGTCTTTAGAATTTAAACTTCTGGAAATCCGCCAATAAAAAAGAAAATCCTTGAAATTTTTATTATTTAAAGTATTTGATTTTTACCTTTAGAAGTTGAGGATTACCACCTCCGAACCTGGCTCCGTAGGCTTTACCAAGATCCTCAGCAACATGGGCAGCAACATCAATACCAACCTAGACATCAGGGTAATCAAGTAGGCAGGCAGGGGATATTCATCCTTTACTAAGTATGATAAAAGGAATAATAAAAATGTTTTTGCGTACTTGGGAAAATTATGTTTTTTTTTCTGATTAGAAGTAATTATACACTCCGACCAATTTTTTAATCAAAAGGACTGACGTGTCTTCAACTTAAAGAGGGGCATACCCAAATCCCAACGGACAATAGTTCCATTTTCTTATTAATAATATGTACGATTTCGACGGATTCCTTGTTTAAACCAGAGAATAAGAATAAAGGGAAAGGAAATGGTGCTGATCTGGCATGAGAAAGCCATGGCTGAAACTAGTGAACGCATAACAAGACAATCTGCTGATATACTCAACCTGAAACCAAGAAACTCAAAACTAGAACTGAGAAGGAATTGCTTTAGTAACAGAGTTGTAAACTCTTGGAATAAGTTACCACAAGATGTCAAATCCGCCAAAAATATTAATGAATTCAATAACAATGACCATCTATTCAATGACCACTACATTGGATCCACAATGATCACTGGGATCAATTCACAAACCTAGAAGATACCATTCTTCCAGCAGATGATCATTAGTTCCTAAAAAATCCTCTACATATTCCTAGATGGAACACTTAGGATCAACACACAAGTATGAAGAAAATTCGCACGCGCAAGCCAGTTTAATATAAACATAACGCACAATGAAAATAGTTAGTTTCAAAGCAAAGATTATGTGAATTCCTATGAAGTTCCTATTACCTCATCAATTAGAGTAGCAACACCGACAGGGAATCCTGAACCCTTGGTGATTTTATCCAACTGTTTAGGGCTAACGCCTTCCTGCAGCAACCTGCAGAAAGAGGACAATTTAAATAATAATAAAATAATAAAAAAGATCATGGTCCTGAGCTAGGAACTCTGGATCTCGATCTTTTTTAGATCTGCATATTAATTTATTCTTTATTCGATATTCGCAGTGTATGTAATTGTACCCTGAAGAAAAATGTACCCGGAGGAAAAATGTACCCAAAGGAAAAATGTACCCAAAGGAAAAATGTACCCCGAGGAAAAATGTACTCCGGGGAAAAATGTACCCCGAGGAAAAATGTACGCCGAGGAAAAATGTACCCTGATGAAAAATGTACCCTGATGAAAAATGTACCCCGAGGAAAAATGTACTCTGAGGAAAAATGAATCCTGAAGAAAAATGTACCACGAGGAAAATTGTACTCCGAGGAAAATGTACCTCGAGGAAAAATGTACCGAGGAAAAATGTACCCCGAGGAAATATGTACCCTGATGAAAAATGTATCCCGAGGAAAAATGTCTTCGAGGAAAAATGTACCCTGAGGAAACATGTACCCTAAGGAAAAATGTACCCTAAGGAAAAATGTATCCCGAGGTAAAATATACCCCGAGGAAAAATGTACCCTCAGGAAAAATGTACCCTGAGGAAAAATGTACCCTGAGGAAAAATGCATCCCGAGTAAAAAAGGAACCCCGAGGAAAATTGTACCCCGAGGAAAGATGTACCCGGAGGAAAAATGTACCCTGAGGAAAAATGTACCCCGAGGAAAAATGTAGCCTGAGAAAAATGTACCTTGAGGAAAAATGTACCCCGAGGAAAAATGTAGCCTGAGGAAAAATGTACCCTGAGGGAAAATGAGGAAAAATGTACCCTGAGGGAAAATGAGGAAAAATGTAGCCTGAGGAACAATGTAGCCTAAGAAAAAATGTACCCTGAGGGAAAATGAGGGAAAATGAGGAAAAATGTAGCCTGAGGAAAAATGTACCCTGAGGGAAAATGAGGAAAAATGTAGCCTGAGGAAAAATGTACCCTGAGGAAAAATGTACCCTGAAGAAAAATGTACCCTGAAGAAAAATGTACCCGGAGGAAAAATGTACCCAAAGGAAAAAAGGACCCCGAGGAAAAATGTACTCCGGGGAAAAATGTACCCCGAGGAAAAATGTACTCCGAGGAAAAATGAATCCTGAAGAAAAATGTACCACGAGGAAAATTGTACTCCGAGGAAAATGTACCTCGAGGAAAAATGTACCCCGAGGAAAAATGTACCCTGATGAAAAATGTATCCCGAGGAAAAATGTCTCCGAGGAAAAATGTACCCCGAGGAAAAATGTACCCTGGGGAAAAATGTACCCTAAGGAAAAATGTACCCTGAGGAAAAATGTATCCCGAGGAAAAATATACCCCGAGGAAAAATGTGCCCTAAGGAAAAATGTACCCTGAGGAAAAATGTACCCTGAGGAAAAATGCATCCCGAGGAAAAATGTACCCCGAGGAAAAATGTACCCGCAGGAAAAATGTACCCTGAGGAAAAATGTACCCCGAGGAAAAATGTACCCTGAGGAAAAATGTACCTTGAGGAAAAATGTACCCCTAGGAAAATGTAGCCTGAGGAAAAATGTACCCTGAGGGAAAATGAGGAAAAATGATAATATAGTTCCAGGCCCCGGTCATAATATTATAATATAGTTCCAGGCCCCGGTCATAATATTATAATATAGTTCCAGGCCCCGGTCATAATATTTTAATATAGTTCCAGGCCCCGGTCATAATATTATAATTTAGTTCCAGGCCCCGGTCATAATATTATAAAAATCTAAGTCCTGTCCAAAATCAAGGTCCAAGTATTGACAAAATAAATATATTGACATATTGTTTGAACTAAAATTACAGACACAGTACCTTGTCAGTAAATGTTTTATGTGCAATCTTATATGATCAATGAGGTTTTGAGGTTTCAAGTTCGTTGTCAGTAATTGGAAAAGTCAACGGTCAAACTTATTTGTCATAGTCATGGTCATCGTTCATTAAATGTGTCAAAGTTGATTGTAATTTAGGCATGGTCAACGTTCATTGATTGTGTCAAAGTTGATTGCTATTTAGGCATGGTCAACGTTCATTGATTGCGTCAAAGTTGATTGCTATTTAGGCATGGTCAACGTTCATTGATTGTGCCAAAGTTGATTGCTATTTAGGCATGGTCAACGTTCATTGATTGTGTCAAAGTTGATTGTTATTTAGGCATGGTCAACGTTCATTGATTGTGTCAAAGTTGATTGTTATTTAGGCATAGCTAAAAGCTAATAGTTATGGTTGGTATTTGTCATTCTGTGTTATTGTCAAGGTCATCATTAATTACCTGATGGCTTCAGATAGAGTAGGAGCCAGAATCCTTGTTGTATAGAAGCCTGGACCATCCCCAACAACAATAACAACCTTGCCCTGTCTTAGTCCAACATCTACAGCAGCCTACACCAGAATATCAAGGGTTTAGACCAGAACATTAGGGGGTTTAAAGCAGAATACCAGGGGTTTAGAGCAGAATACCAGGGGTTTAGAGCAGAATATCAGGGGGTTAGAGCAGAATATCAGGGGTTTAAAGCAGAATATCAGGGGGTTAGAGAAGAATATCAGGAGTTTAGAGCAGAATATTAGGGGTTTAGAGCAGCATTTCAGGGGTTTAGAGCAGAATATCAGGGGTTTAGAGCAGAATATCAGGGGTTTAGGCAGAATATCAGGGGTTTAGAGCAGAATATCAGGGGGTTAGAGCAGAATATCAGGGGGTTAGAGAAGAATATCAGGAGTTTAGAGCAGAATATTAGTTGTTTAGAGCAGCATTTCAGAGGTTTAGAGCAGAATATCAGGGGTTTAGAGCAGAATATCAGGGGTTTAGGCAGAATATCAGAGGTTTAGAGCAGAATATCAGGGGGTTAGAGCAGAATATCAGGGGGTTAGAGTAGAATACCAGGGGTTTAGAGCAGAATGCTATGGGTTTAAAGAAGAATACCAGGAGTTTTTAGCAGAGTAACAGGGGTTTAGAGCAGGATATCAGGGGTTTAGAGCAGAATATCAGGAATTTAAGAGCAGAATATCAGGGGATTTAAGTGGCATGTCAGGGGTTTTAAGCAGAATATCAGGGGTTTTGAGTAAAATACAAGGGGTTTAAAGCAGAATATCAGGATTTCGAGCAGAAAATACAAGGTTTAGAGCAGATTAAGAAAACTTTGAAAAATGTGTACATTATATGGAACTAACTTGACACCGTGCAAGATCTGAGGATCCTTATAAACTAATGTGTGTTCAGGGTGTTCAGCGACAAGATGTTAATCTGTATGGAACCAGGAATTCTCTACAAACAATCGATCAATCACACGGAACTCTACGTCTACAATCCTACATTTAATCATGTGTTTAAATCTATATAATTAATTGAGATTTTTAAAGTATAACTATTTAAAGGCCAATTTTTTATGAAAATTAACCTGATTTTGTTTTAATAATGCAGAACCTGAGTTTTATCAAGCCTATATATAATATTTAACCAAAGCCTATATAAAGTATCTAGTCTAAGCCTATATAAAATGTCCAGCCTAAGACTCAAAATTTTGTAAATAAATGAGTTTATCTTTCAGAACACGATGGGTTAGTTGAATTTGCTAACCGGCATTCGTGTTTCTTTCTCCAGGTCTATAAAGCATCCGTAATCAATGTTTAAGGCTATTTACGCAATGTTGCCAAATCTTATTCCTACGGATGGTTTATAGAATATATGTAGATAATTGTGATTCCTCTAAATAGTTCCGGATTTGTCTCCATGTATTGAACCAGGTGAAAAAATTGCAAATATCTAAAATGAGCTTCAAAATATCCTGACTTCTCACGAATTTCTCAACGCATTTCTCATGCTAGGCTGGCACGAGTCCCGTTGATATGTAACCTCGTCTTGCTCCGCTGACTCGCGGACAAGTTCTACTCCTCTTCAACATGCAGATGATCTCCCCTGTGTGTTTGACTCCTGAGATGAATAAGTTCTCTCCTAGTCCCACCTATAACTAATCTTGACGTCCTGAGTCTAAGGAAGTCCACATAAAGGTGAGGATCAAAGCTCACAACCTTTGAGCTCTGGAACTCGGTCTAATTATCTTTATTTAGACCTCCGTTGTCAAGACTCCGACATCACCGGAAGCTGAGTTATCCTGTTTCTCTGGACACTCGGCTGATACTCCCGAACATCCTGATGGTACTCACTTACCTACCTCTACGTACCAGGCCTCTAAAACTTCGGCTTAGTTGTAGCTTCTTCTCCGGCATCTCCGACGAGAAGGACTGTCTCCTCCGACGAGCATATTCGTCGTTCTACATCCTCTCCGGCACCTCCGATGAGAAGGATCTACCCTGTATCCCTGATCTAAGCGCCTCCTTTAGATCAAATACAGGTAATAATCTAATTCACGATGCTTGTGATTAGTGTGAGAAAGTCACCACTTAATAAGGATATTTGAAGTAACACATGAAAACTTTGATTAGACTAAATAATAAGCTCATTTTTAGTTACCTTATTCACGACTGCGGTGCAATTTAATGAACTATAGGCTACAAACCTCTGGACAAATCAACATTGTAAGTTTATTTTCTTATTATATAAATTGCTAAAAAGTTAACCTGGAGAAAGTTTTATTTTAAAGGCTAAAATTTTATTATTGTCATGCATATAATTAACCCTGGACTGAATTATTGTGTTTTTCAGTTCTCGGTTGAGTCCTGTATAAACTGCCTACCTGAAATATATACATAAGATTTAATCAGTGCAAATTGAGGTGAGCCAAAGAGAAAGAGACCATGCTCGCTCTTATGTTTGTAGTTAATTACCTGGTTCCTAAAGGTAAAATTTGAGCACACACTGAACGAGAAACATTGAGTTATAAATAAAAAATGTAAATTAATTTTAAAGCACTAAAAATTAAATAACCAACCTTGACGGTCTCTGCGTCGGTTTTGTCTGTGGTGATGATCTCAAGGAGCTGCATCTTGTCTACTGGAGAGAAATAGTGCATACCTATCACCTTCTCAGGGCGCATACTGGCCTAGATAGATAGAGATGAATACATAAATATATATAGATAGATAAGCACGCGGAACAACACTAAAATCTAAAGTACTCAAATTGTGTAAACCACTCTCAGATTTCCATATATAAGACAGAGAATCGTCATAAAATAAATATAATAAGACAATTATGTTGTAGAGAATAATTTTTTGGTTTGCTTTATATTTCATTGTTTTAATGTCTTAATTCTTTAATTAATTAAAAACAGATTTCCAAACACTGTTTAATTAGATTTGCAATTTCTAAAATGGAAAAAGCGCTGGTTTTGGACGCAAATATTGCGTCAGAACGCACATTTGCAATGTCTTAAATGGATTGGAAACAAACATTGTGCCAGGACGCATTTTCTCGTCATTTAAAAACATACCTTTGCAATCTCGGAGATGGGAAGAGCGCTGGTATTTGACGCAAAGATTGCGTCAGGGCGCATATGCTTCTCGACCTCCTTGATGACACGGTGCTTGATGTTGATGTCCTCGAACACAGCCTCGATGACCATGTCCACCTTGTGGAATTCTGAGTAGTCTAGTGCAGGAATAAGGTTTGCCATGTAACGTTCCCCGTCAAGTTTAGCAATCTTCTTCCTTTTTACTTTCTTGTCAATTCCATCTTGAACCTAAACAGAAGCAATGTCAACTAAACAGAAGCAATGTCAACTAAACAGAAAGCGCTGTTCAACTAAACAGAAGCACTGTAAACTAAACAGAAGCACTGTCAACTAAACAGAAGCACTGTCAATTAAACAGAAGCACTGTCAACTAAACAGAAGCACTGTCAACTAAACAGAAGCACTGTCAATTAAACAGAAGCACTGTCAACTAAACAGAAGCACTGTCAACTAACCAGAAGCACTGTCAACTAAACAGAAGAAGGCCAAATTAGTGCGGGATTACTTGTACTACTTTGTGACCTAGTTGCTCCTCTCTTAATAATTTTACGAGCCAGTTACATGTTAGAAATTCAAAACATGTTTGTTCCTCTCAATATATATATAATATACCTTAATATATAGCATTTTATACCTCGACAAGATTACATTTAAACTTTAAAGGGAGTGTTGAAGTAAGATTAGTGATCCTCCAGCTAACAAGTTGCATGTCCGAATGTAACGGCACCTTTTATTGCGTGAAAGATACCTTTGTGAATTGAACATGCGACTTTGTGATATGGAAGTCATTTGAAATTACGTTAATAGTCCCTTAAAATAGTATGAGGCTTTTCTTTTAATTGTGGCTTTATCTGTGAGCATCTTCTCTTTGTGCAGTAAAAAACAAATACAAATAAAAGTGTGGGTATCTATATATAAGTTTGGCTTGTCTGTCTGTTTGTTTCCAATAAACGTCAAAACGGCTGAACCGATCGGGCCCAAATTTTTTGTGGGACATCACGTGACCACAGGGAAGGTTTATGAATAATAAAAATTTTAAAAAATGTGTTTGTCTGTTTGTTTGTTTGTATCCAATAAACGTCAAAACGGCTGAACAGATCGGGCCCAAATTTTTTGTGGGACATCAC